TTAAATAAATAAAAAAATAGTTTCTGCTTACAATTACCCAGTCTCCATAATGCTTTCAAAAAGAAATGTTGGTGTTTATTGTTACTCTAAATATGAATATTTCAATTTTGCAGGTTTGCATTGACATATAAAATAGTTTCTGCCTTTAGTCTTTAAATTCTGGTCAGTTACTTGTTTATTTTTTAATTTCTTCAATTAGTGTTATGTAGTATTATGAAAATTGATTTCTATTTCAAGGCTATGGCAGGATGGTATTGGATTCACATCCTGTAAAAAGTAAAATTACATTCAATATAGGGTCTTATTTAAACTATAACAGTGACAGCCACAATGTTAAAACCACTTAACAAATATTTTGTAGGCCAAGGCATGAATATGAAACCAATGGAGGTGTTTTTTGTTTGGCAGATGATCCTTTGGGTGCTGTGGATTGTAGGGTGTGGGTTCTGTGGATTGGGCCTATTCCACTGCATCTTCGGGATGCTCCGTCAGATTTTGAAGTTTGGATGCTTTATCAGCACCTTGGGTTGTTTGTCATGTTTACACAATAGGGGTGGTCCTATTTCGCTGCAGGGCAACCTGCACGTGGCGAATAAAGCCTTGATTGATTGATTGATTGATGGATTGGGTTGTTTGTCATGTTTACACAACCTTCTGCTGTTTGTATGGTAGGAAATGATTGCCATTGGGTTATGCCATTGCCATGGGTCTGCAACAGTATAGGTGGGTGTTACATGAGTAACACGAATGTCAGGATCCAAGATTTTCCAGCAGGAGATTCGATTCTGGGGAAAAAAACCCCACACCAGTGGTGTGGGGATAGAGAGCTTGAGACCTCTACTGCTAAGAGGTCAAATCTGACAGTGCGACCCTGGGAACTGTTTGGGAAACACTTACATTCAGAAAGGCTTTCAGGTTCATTATACTTAGAGATGCGTGTGTGAGGTCATTAAGAAACTGGTTTATTAACATTTACTTAGAAAAAGATTCAGAGCTGTTAATCCATATGTGGCTTACCAGTGTAAAGATGGGCTACCAAGAGGAGATGCAATCGAATCGAAGTTCATTTCATAGGTGTAACACACTCACACTAAGGTGCAGTTCAGGCCAGGAGTGTGTGATTAACCACAGCATACAAAAAATTCCAAAAGCAGCCTGCCAATGTCACTTTCAGACCTTCAGCTTCTGAATGAAAACAAAGAAGTTATGAATATTTCTAAAACCTAAGCGTGAATAAATACATTATCAATAAAATAAGCCCTTTCTGTACTTAACCCTGCTATTGCAACGCACTGGTGAGCCACAGCTATAAAAAGAGGCATCCTTCCAGCGGTGGAACAAAAATTTAAAAGAAACAAAATGCACAAACCAAGAATAAACTAAATGACTTAGAGTTTGGCACAAAACAAGACCAGATTTCAGTAGTTTGAGGTAGTTAACCACACACCGTTTACTCTAAATTTAACAGCAAACAATTGAATACTCTGAGATTATGACAACGACCTTTCATGTGCGGCACACATACAGCTCACATTTTGCTCTTAAAAGGGCTCGAAGATTTGACAGATTGCACTAAATTCAATAAAATGTTTCAGAGTTACCGCTTGAGACTAAGTTGGCTGTGAATAAAGCAAAAAGCCGGCTGTAATGTCCGGGTAATTACTGAAAGAATGGAAAAAATGCAACACTCAAAACAAAAAGGGATCGAAGGAGCTTTGCTGGGGTGTAGGTCAGAGTAGCAGTACAGCTCTGCTGTAGGGCTGTGAGCCACCAACTTAGTCATTGTGAGGCCTCATAAAGCAACAATGACACCAAAGATGATGAACAACAAACGTGCATCCAACCTTGCAACAACTAATGATGCATACAGAAGGAATCTTCCGATGCAGGAAGGAGGCGGTAATCATGCTATGACTTACAACCAAAACACTTGTTTCTTTGAACAGGATGTAACCTCGAGCACAACTAGGCTCAGAGAGGGGCAGCCATCTCCCACAAAGTGATTATATACTGATCAGGACAATAACATGCAAAATAATTAATGTTGTGCATTAAAAGTGAGTAGGTCCAAATTGCATTGTTTAAAAAAAACAAAAGAAACTGGGGTTAGTTATTTGTCCACCAAATTGAATGAAAGGAGCATCCACAGAGGAAGCAATTTGCTCATCCTGCATCACTTTGTCGCTGATGATCGGACATTCAGGGCTCCAGTTGACTAGACAACCCTCTATTTTCCACCTTGTTATATATGTTAATAAACTGGATCATTTGAGGTCCTTGGTAATCACTTCAGTTGCTTTCCTTGATGCTCCTATTTCACCTAAGGTCACTTGAAGTTGCCGAATGTTAATGACTTTCCAAGGTCTTTGCTTTGCCACATCGGTATGGAGCCCCATCTGGGCCCAACACCATTCTCCACTGGCAGTGCGCTGGCAGGCCGTAAGGAACTAGGGACAGCGTGTCTAGCTGTTGAGAGCATCTGCTGCCAAATCGATGCAGCGCCCAAAGTATGTGGTTCAACCAGTCCTCTGTGGGAAATGCTTGCTTGTGCTTTTGTTGGTAAAGCAGCCACCTGTGGAGAAGAGAGCAAAGTTATACCAAAGCTGAGATGGCACTAAAAACCATGAAAAGTGTCTGCTTTAGCCACAGTTTGTTCTTTTCATTACTTTTTTAAATCTTTAATGTTTTTGGTGAACTCTGCTGTCATTTCCTTACCTGTCAGCCAATCAGCATTTGACCTACGCTATGCACTGATGGGTTTTCACAGGACTGTACAGGAGCACATTGACGTGGGTTGAAAATCTTTCTTCGTAGGCTCTCCGTAGGCAAACTACTAAAATGGGCACAGCTGTGGTGCCATAAACGAATCATTAAGTGTGTCTTAAGTTGATTTAATCATATATGTCTTTTAGGACATTTCTTTTTACACATTTGTCATAAAAACACAGCCGACTCATGTTGCCTTAAAGGTTTCCTTTGGACTATGTTGATGTACCCTGTAGAAAAGACAATTCTACTACTAAGTTTACAGCTCAGACTCTGATTTCTTTCTTTGAGCAGTTTTGTTTTTTCTCAGTTGCATGCGGCACATTCGGTTCTACTGTATTCTATTCTTACCTTAAAATTTGGAACCAATTTTAAGTCTATCACAGTATTTTAGTTGCCTGAACTGCTTTTTAAATGGTATCAACCTGACACAGATAGTGAATCTGGCTTCTCTTTTATCTTCTGTGTATAGCATGTCAGTGCTGAATATATAAATAAATATAAAACAATCACCTGAGAAAAGCATGAATAGCAATTTGGCTACACGTGTAACTGTACTGCATCATTTTTCTGCCTCGAATGTTACTGTCAGTGAAAGTGCACATATCATCTATCAGCTAGCTGCCACACAACCAGAACACTGTTGAATCCTGACTCTTCTACCAAACCTTTAATGTGTGGCGTTTGCATGTTCTGTCTGTGTTAAGGTTGGTTCCCTCTGACATCTTAGACAACCTCCCACAGTCCAAACACATTCGAGTGTGACAAACCAGAAACCCGGTGAACTACATGCAGAAATTTTCATTGCATCTTTGAAAAGACACGTAAAACACAGAGTCATACCTAAGTCATTTGAATTTCCTCTAGTATTTGGTGTTTGGAAAAGAAATCAGTGTTTATATTCATCCATGTACAGTAGATGTGATTTGCACATGTTTATAACCCTTTAAAAACCAAAGTCAACCTTAGACAGCCTTAAAATGTCTGCCTGGTTTCTTTGAAATCTCAAAGCATTTGGCTACACACTGGACTAATTACTAATCACAGAATTTTTATCGTCAGACAGACAAATGAGGTGATGGACATCCTTGCCTTGTCAGCTGTTCCACATTTTATAGTTTAGACACAGCTAAGCTCACCCTGGCTCTCTTTCTGTCTCTGCGTCTCAAAGGTTAGCAGAGGGCTGCTGTGTTTGTCAGGCCAATCGATGGCCTGTCGTGCCCGGAAATGTTCTCAGTTATGTAGCGGAGTCAGCCTAGTGACCTCTTTGCGACATGGTGAAAGATCATCACCAAGAAAGGGACCGCATGCGTGTGTGTGTGCGCGTTAAACATGGGTGGATATCTGTCAGAAGCAGGTGGGTATCACTTACTAACCCTGCATATAATCAATACATTTCAAAGCTATTATTCTGAAAAGTGCATGTGCGTGGTGCACTTATTAACAGCAAGGGAATCAAAGAGCTGGTGTGTGACAAAGAGGACTGGTGTCTAATTCAAGGTCAATAAGGCCTGTGTCACTCCTGCACTTTCACAGACGGGAGGGAGGAGGCATTATGTTCTTGTTGGTTACCAGAGCAAACACGACATCCCTGCTGGAGCTCATATCAATTTGTAATTCGACCCTCGGTCACATCAGAAAATGTCAGCACAGGTTGCTTGTGCAAAACAACGCTGCATTTGTCCAGTGCTCCTATCGGTTATCCAATGCTGTGCCATTTAAATGTTTTGCCTTTGTCTGTTGTGCACATTCACAGAAGTAAATATTCTTCTCTACGTTAAGTTTTAAGCTGCTCTGTTGTGTATTTCAGCCCATTAGTAATTCCATCAGCTGTTCTCTTTTAATTTAATTTCAGCATATGATCAGACAAAGCTACAGTGTGCCTTTTATTTTTCTCTTTAAGTGACCATCTTACTTAATTTGCTAACACCAGCAGTACCTTCTCCTCATGCCCGTACATATTTAACTCTATTAATCTAATCGTCTACTAATTGGTCAAGATAGCCTTTTCCCTAATGATTTTTATCATGGGGTAATTAATGAGCGTGGTAAAGCTGAAATCACAGTGTCTTGTTAAAATGGCTTGATTGACACATTGTTTCTGGGCTGCCATTTTTCACTTTGTAGCATGCTTCATTTGAGCTACTTTAGGTAAATAACTGTTTAAAAATGATACTATTTTTAACAAGACTTTATGCGTCCTTCGCCTTTGAAAACATACAATGACAAAATGCCAGTGAATGATAAATCTTTAATATAAAAATTGTACAAGAATTCTGATACAAATTACAAGAGGTATTTGGACAAAATATGAATAAAATTCCATTTACATCCCAAAACCCTTATGCATTTTATGCAAAAACCATAGACAGTTATGATACAGAAACAAATACAAGAAAGGCTTAAAAGAAAGAAAAAGAAGTCTCTTAAAAAGGATCTTTTTTTTTTTCCTTCTGTCTGTCTGCTAATGGGGAACACCTCTTTAGGTAACATACAGTATTCATGAGGCTTCCAAATCACCACTTTAACACCAAAGTGACACAAGCTCCTTTGCTCTGTTTGTTCTTTGCAGTGCGACCATGTAGCCATGCAATGCTGTTGAGTGCCAGTGCTGCAACACGGGCTTCTTAAGACACAGACACAAATGCATCAGATACACACACACACAAAAAAAACAAAACAAGTGAAAGTTAAAATCTAAGTTCACTAGCTCCTCAAGCTATTTATACTTTAAGACTGTAAAATATATTTGAAAATACAATGGACAAAATTTAATGGATTTACAGCATTTTTTTTTGTTCAGGATAACTGACATTTCACAGGTTCCAGTTCAAATTAACGAGGGCATCCTTTTTAGAACATAAGACATGAGACTGAAGCATCTATACAAACCCACGTGTGTGTAATTTTCATCTAACTGCATATTTCTAATGACATCCTGTTAAATATTTTAACCTCACTTTGTTCCATAAGCTACATTAACTGAACAGGTTGCACGCATTGTCACCGCTCGTTCTCTCAGCTCGCACCTTCTACTCTATCACTCTGTGACGTGAACACAATGGACAGCGATTAACGGGTCAGGCATTTCCGCCCTTTGCCATCCTTTTCCCCCTCAGTGTGCTCGGTAGAATTGCAGAATAATTGATGACTGATGCTGCTCTTATCAAATATTTAAGATTCGCTCCAGCGGTCTGGGCCGATGAGCAATCTAAGTGATGTGTTCCTGCTGTCCCAAAGCATGGCCACTAGGTAGCACAGTGCACCCAGACCCATGTGGTTAAAGAATTAAGAAATTCAAAGACTGGATTTCTCTGAAGACAGAAAGGAGAGGAGAGCAGAGTGTACAGGAGAGGGGTGGATCGACTGCTCTCCAACAGGCAATGAAGAAGAACCTAGCGACTTGTCCTGGGGAGCTTTTTTCTTTTGTCTTCAACTTTTTACCCTGCTTTGTTAAGTGACTGCTGCAAGGTCCAGCCTCACCACTTTTTAAACCCAATTCCCTCTCCAGCATCCCGCCCTTATCTGTTCAGCTGGGGACAGCACAGACATTTGCATTTTTTTTTATTTCAGCCCTGTTTCATGACCCTTGATCCTCTGCTGACATAGCTGCAACCATCCAAGACTCTGACAGAGCCTGAAGTAGTTAGTGGACGGTGTAGTAGGGGAACTTCTTCCTCTGATGTTCAGGGTTTTTTGTATGTGAGACAGCTCTGCAGTTGATGATTAAGAAATGGACAATATAGAGCAGAACCTAAGGAACATGTTAGTCTGAAGCTGAGGTTGGTGACAAGAGCACATTGTGATGTTTGATGATTCTACTGAATTCAAATCAATCTGTCAGCTTGCTGACCTCTTAAATAGACTTAAAAAAATAATGTTTTTAGGAGATTCATATTGTCTGTGTTAGACTTTATTCCAACTTGCATCAATAGTGTGTCATTTCTGCTGTGAGAATATGTTTCTATGCCCCTTTTTTGTCTTTCACTAGAGGTTAACAAGTCACCTAGGTCTTGTTGTGTTTCTGCGTGTGTGCCACTTTCATCTGCGTGTGTGTGTGAGTGTGTGGTTGTGTGTTAGAGAGACAGCTGTCAGCAGGGTTCCTGGAGTAGCACTTTTTTATTTCTGGCAGAGTGAGGGCCGCGGGGATTGAATGAGTGAATGAGGCAGCAAGTGCCTCAGTGAAACCCACTCCTGGGAGAAGGCAGGGGTTCCTGTACTCAATTTTCCCTTCACTTGGGATAAACAGGCAATTACCCATCCCTTTTTCCTATGCCATGGCCGTCCAGTGAACTTAAGCATACACTATTAGCGTGTGTCCCTGTAGGATCTGCGCTGTGGCGTGTAGAGGTGGTAAGTGAGTGGCGGATTGAAGAAATGGGTAAGGCGGTTGTTAAATGCCTGCGCTCTGACAGACAAAGAGAAAAACAGAGTGAGAGAAAGGAATTGAATTACCGGCGACCTTGACTAAGAATAAGCGTGCAAAGAAAATGATCAGATGAATTGAATTACACTTAAGCGAATGAGTCAAATTAAATTGTTCAAAGCACGCTCTTTCTTCTTTTTCTCCCGTCAGTGTCACAGTCTTGTCAGCAACCTTGGCGTCTGGCAGTGTAACGTAGTGACAAGTGAGTTATTAGACAGAAGAAGCAGGAATGGCGGGACGCCTCCAGGTAACAGAGAAACAGCACATTTTTAATGATCGTTTCTGTCATCCTTTCCTCCCTAGTCAGCCTTCCACCTCCGCAACCTTTCCATCAGACTCAGCTCTCTCTGTCTCGTGTTTTTTATCTCTGAGAAGAGAGAACTAAAAACTGCATGTGTCATATGGGTGGAGTCTTAAAAGAGACATGAAATATTTCAATAGAATAGGACATGTCTGTATTGCAAAATGGCCTAAGTATGAAATAAGTGGAACTGAGCACTGTTATGGATGTAAGGTGTTGTGAATACTGTACAGCACACCGCATAACACTGCATATTTTCCCACTGTGTGTAGCACCAGTCAAGTAAGAGTAGATCTCCTTGTACAGTAACACATGGCATTGCTAATACATTGAGAAATAAGTCAAACTGAGGAACGATCTCTACTTTTTTGTCTTTTTACAAAGAAAAATATAGCGGACAAAAAACATTTCTATGGAGATACATCACCCTCTAATAAATACCCCTTCCCTTGGCTACTTTGCCCAATTACTGGAAATAGTTGTACCGTAAGACACTCATGGACATGTTACAAATTGGTGCAACTAACAGCCAAAAAAAACAAAACAAAACATGGCAACATTTTTATGCTCAGCAATGGAAACCAATGGCGCAATATCACAGCAAAATGTTTTAAGACTCAAGTGCATCATATTAATCAAACAGGGCATGATTTAAGTACAATGTCACACTGAAAGAGCTTCTTTTTTCTTTTTCTTTTTTAGCAAACACTTATCTTTTGGTCACAGTTGAAGGACTATTTTCATTTTTCCTCTCCTTTTTTTTTTTTTTTTTTTAAATCTGTGGGACTGTATGTTCCATTAGGATGCTTTTTGTAAGAACAAACACCAGCTCTTGCACTGACTAACATGCTTTCTTCTACAGAAAGCAAGCGTTAAACCCCACATTGCTTCTTTTAAGGAAAGAGGGACTTTATCAATATTTACTCCCTTGTGTTTATGAAACAGCAGTTCATAATGATCAAACCTGGTTTTGTTTTGAAGTCACTTTTGTCACCTTCTGAATAAATGGTTCAGCAATGAGGGCAGATCTCAGGTTTTGTTCAGGGAGGCGAGATGTTTTCTGTCATCAAACTGGGTTTGACATTGAAACGCGTGCAAAAAGAAACTGGCACAAGTTGAATGTTGAAGGTACTGTCACTTCCATTGGCACCGCAGCCATCGATGACCCCAAACAACACCTAAAACTCAGCATTGCAAAAAATCCTCATTATATTAATATTACACATCCCCTTGTATAGATGCAAAGTGCAAAAACTGAATTGGTATACTAAAGCTCATAAACATAACAGACAAAAAAAAAATCAATAGAAATACAGAGAATGATATCAGTGTAGGAGCCTAAAAAAGCATGCCGGCAACCTCTGAATATCTAACAAGTAGATAAAACAAGTCACGTGATATTCTTTTTTTTCCTTAGGACTCAGTTTAAAATGTGTCTTTGAAGCTAACATAAATGAGTCAAGCTAGTAAGATGCTACCGCTTTCTTGCCTATAGCTGGAAGTATTTTACTGGACTGTAACATAAAATCCCAAAAAGGGAGAAAAAAAAAGAAGCAAACAACCATCAACACAACTCTTTTACACCAAAAGCCTTTTGGGACATTATTTACAAATGAAGCTATCATGCTTTTGTAAGGGGTTCATTTAAAAGCTATCATTACACAAATACAACGAGAACATTTTAAGTTTTTTTTCAATACTATCATATCTGAAGGCAAAGTCACAAATAAGAGTTTGAATGGATCCTTTGGAGATGGAAATAAACACAAAGTGGGAGAAGTTAGAAAGGAAAGGATGGAGGGGGCTTATGAAAACACAACTCTCCATGCTCTAGAGTGTTATCCTGTTCTTCCAAAGAAGGAAAAGTCAAAGGACACAATAATAAACTGTATTTAGAGTCAATTAATTTTATACATGGAGATAGAAATGTCTCGCAATGATGTTCAAAGGACGGTCATACAGGCATTTAGCTTGTATTTGATGGTCTTGGGCTGGGGTTAAAAGCTAATTTGAGGAGGAATAAGGATGAGGAATGAAGGGAGTAGCGGGCATTCTGACAGGAGGGCAGAGTAACAAGTCATTTCTTTAGTCTATTATTGTAGAGAAGGGCATGTTTTTATGGAGGTTCGGGTTCTGAGAGTGTCGGTTGCGGCTGCGTACAGAGCTGAACACCATGTTGCAACCGGGGATTTTGCACTTGTGCATTTCGCGTAGGTGCACAGTCTTGTAGTGCACACGCAGGGTCCCTTTGTTGCTGTACATTTTGTGGCAGATGTTACAGAGGATCCCACTGCTGCTGCCATTACTGCCTCCAGAGGACGAAAGGAGGAATGGTGAGGAGGAAGGGTCCAACCCCTCACTTTGTCCATCTTTTAGTTCTCTCCTCTCATCCCGATATGCCCCATCAGCCCGCCCAATGGCACGCTGGGAGAAGTCCTCTCCCTCGCTGTTGCCCTCATCCTCTTCTCCCTCTTCCTCCAGGTCATCCAATAGGATGCCTTCATCGCTGCCCTCATCTGACTCGTGTGAGGAGTGGATGCTGCTGCTCGATTGAACGCTGGATGTGGTACTCAGGTCCAAAACCATGTAGTCGTCTGGTTGGCTCCGAGAGAAGCCGTTGGTGTGGTGGTTTCGAAAGTCTTGGTTGAGAGGATGGTGAAGATGATCATTGCTCATGGGGGAATGGGGAATGTGGTTCAGCCCGGCAGGCCCGAGACTGGCACCTCCGAGGCCCATGCCGGCCATGGGGTCCAAGCCCATGTAGTGTCCAGCGTAGATCTTGGCCAGTAACTCAGCTCGCAGGTCCTTGGGCAGTGGCGTGAGTTGGGGGTCCAGGACAATGTCGTCCAGCTCTTTGGTCAGCAGTTTGCGGTGCAGGTTGATGTTGGAGCTGTGCCTAATGTGCAGGGGGACAATTAGAGATATAACTCAGAATGCTGCCAGTGTATCAATAATGTAGATTACATCTCAAATAGAAATAGGAACACAGTTGAAATACACGCATATGTATTTACAGTCATATATTTTAGATACAAGTTATTTTACTTCTGTGAAATGGTGCCAAGCTTAGAAGATTCAATATCTTTGGAAGCGCTCTGTCTGTAATTATTGTTTCTGTCAGGAAAGGTACAAAAAAAGGCCCGCACACAGACAGAAATCCATCCGATAGCTCTCCACTGAAAAAGTGTACTAACATAGCAATGAGAGAGAGCATCCTGCTAGTGTTTACCACTGTCAGCATGTCTGCACTGCACAGCCCTCAAATCCAATAGAGTCTGACTCAATTAAATACTCCACCATATTGAATGGGAGTTTATCAATTGATTCGAGCTGTGGTAATGTGATAATCGAGGGGAACTGGATAGCATATTAGCACTAGGCCCTGACAGGATTATCGCATTCGTTCCCTATTGGAGGTGGCTTAATCGAGCACCTCAATGAACATGTCTTTATGTAGCCTTGGATTTAATTAAGATGGGCATTTTTCCCAAAAACAAGGTGCTACAGCTCATGAAGGAAACCAAGTAACAAATGCCATGCTTAAGCCAGGATACAATTAGTGGGGATTTCAGTTAGCACACAAGGCCATGCTAGAGGATGCAAAGTGAAATGGGCTTGAAAATCAAATGTATTCCCTTTATTCTATTTATTCCCTTTAAGCTCCTATTTCACAGTTGCAAAGTGACACCATGAGAAAGGGGACCAACAGCACACACGTCACAAAAAACTGTGTAACACAGAAAAGAAATTTAAGGACCCAATTACCAGTGCCATAATATAGCATACACACGGCCTCTCTTCTCACATCAGGCCAGTAATTAATTAAAATAAAAAATATGCAATCACTCAGTGCCTTTAATGTGAAGGGTTTCCATGCAGGGAGGGCACATGTGTGTAAAACAACACAAAAATTGAAAAGAAAAGGAAAAAAAAAGGTCGTCCTTAGCAGGACGGGCAAAAATGGAGTCACAATGGATAGTAGAGCTTACCAGCAGTGGCAGGGTTGATGCAGTCAAAAAGGGTCCCTTTCCTTTAATTATTTACTTCCCTATCCGACATTGTCCTGCAAGAGGTAAAAATACATTCATTTGAGGGACCCTTTTCTGTGAACCAAGCAACCAGGAGCCCGTCCACTCGAGCATCGTCAGCATTGTGGAGAGCGTGGCAAATCGATTGGCTGTGGCTCTCACTGTGTGTGTGTGACCGTGTGTGTCTTTGCACGTTCCTATCTCTGTTTGTGCATGTGGAAAAACAGAAAATATATTCAGTTTTCCACGTCCTGCAATCAAAAAGATTTTATACATCCCTTGTAAAAAAAAATGTATCCTTTGAATATGCAGTTGTACCCATATGGCGTTTAACTAATGGCTAAAATACGGCCGTCGTGATTCAGTGTCTGCGTCTCTAAAACGCATGTGTGGATGTTTGTCTGTGAGAGACCACAGTGTTTCTGTGTACAGCAAAAGAATAAATAAAAAATGCTGTAATCAGTGATCAGTGTAATCGGGAAAAAGGCCACAGTTTGTGCAAGGGTGCCAACCAACACTGAGATGTGAAGAGGGGCCACACAGATTTGCTCTGTTAAGCCTGAGGTTAAGAATGCTGTTGATGATGCTCAGGTAGGCGGGTCCTTTGCAACATGTCTCCATCTGTATTACAACACCTTCTCACTGCTAATAAGCTCTAAATTAACCATGGCTATCTAGTCATACATGCAGTAAGTAGACTGCAAAATTAGCTACACCAAATCTCTTTAAAGCTATAGCAGTTAAATGAAAAATATTGACAATTACCACTAGAATCTTATCCATTTTACTGAAATCCTCAAATAAATTAAACTGTTACTTTGGGTCATTTGTAACCATTTACAAAATTACAAGAACTGTAGAGGAGAAAAAGAGCCATGTTCATCTTCATTATTATTTAACCCTTTTGTTTGCAGTGCCTCCTTGCCCTAAATACTCAACATAAGTCAGCTGAATCCACACACAGTGGACATAATGCCCTCATCCCTTCATTTATCAGATTTAGACTTTCTGCCCCATTTCCCACTACCCTCCGTCCCTCCACCTCCATCACTCCTCTTCACTGTGCTCTATTTTTCCTCCCCCAAAACCAACTCCTCAGTTCCCTCCTTCCTCCATCTCCACCTCCCTGTTGGCCAGTAATGTGGCTTGCAAACCAATTTGACAGTCTCATCTTCGCCCAAAAGACGGGGGAGGCCTCCAGAGAGCCCATTTTTGACTGTGCAGAGGAGGCAGAGTGAGAGTGTGCCTGTCCCAATCGGCGTTAATCATCTTTAGGTTCATCTGATGGCCCTTGCCCTTGCTTTTGTGTCAGCGCTTATGTGTGTATATACACGTGTGTATGTTTGTCTAAATGACTCATAATGTGTAAATGAGATAGAAGGCTGAGTGGTATTAAACTGGCACCAGTGGTTCTTTGTCTTTCCTGTCATTTGGGGTGCATTATGAGGTTTTGGGTGTAAGTGGGAGGACAAGAGTTTTAGTAACATTTATCACTCTCTGTCGCTGTTATATCTCCTTCGCACCGCTCCAGCCTCTCGAACGGCGCAAGCTGCACACAATAATTTTGAGTACTCCTGAAGAAATGAGTGAGTGGAAATTAAATATGCATTTGATACCAGATAAAAACAACAATTTATTGTACATGTTCATGTTTCAGCTTGAAATCGCTTGCAGTTTTAGAACTCGTTCTGATGATGACAGTCAGCTTGCATGGGCGTCTCTGTGTTATTCATCTAAGAATAAAATAATTTCCCTTTATTCTCCTCAAAATGAATCACAATTAAGCTGTCAGTATAAACCAAGGGGATGTAATGCTTGAAGCTTTTTATTCAGCAGATAGTTTAATGTAAGTGGCTTTTGCTAACATATTCTCTCTATTAGCAGCATGCCCTTTGTTTATAAGGAGACAAACAGAGAGCTGATTGTGGAGCGGAGGAGCCAAGCCCACATGCTGTGAGGGGACCAAGGGAAAAGGAGGGAGACAGAGAGAGGAAGAAGAGGGGAGGAAAGAAACTCTCCAACATAATTAACCTTCACTCTCTCCATTTGCAGTGGCCCATGCAGGGACCATGTGCTGCGCATGGTTGCACCATGGGAATGCGAACGAGGGAGATCACCTGCTTGCTGCAGCGACAAAGAAGGAGCAGATTAAAATGTTTCAGGTGAAGGTTTAAAATAAAACTAGTGTGGGCTGATTTTTATTTAAAAAAAGAAAGAAGAAAGGTACGGCAATCTTGTCACCAGTTAAAAATGATGATTAAAAAGGCTAATAATGGTGATGATTACTGGTACCTGCCTTTCAAGCAGTTAATTATGCAGCTTCTTCAACACTTGTGCCGACGCTGCTCACTCCCCACAATAAATATGCAATCATTTACCCCCGTGCAGCAGGCAGCCAGGAGGCTGAGGGAAAACACCCCGCTTTAAAATCACTCTCGCACACGCATATGCACACACGCACTGTATATTGCTCTGTTTAACACTTAAAAACACACACATTACATGCTTGCTCAAGGGCACTTTAAATGATCCTGTTCAATATGTATGTACAGCATCCACGAGCAGGGATGTTTTCATGTGGACTTGTATGTCTCGCTGTTTATTCCACATTGCCTGAACACCAGTGATACGTTTTTATGTGGTGGTGCATTCGCATTGAATCCTGCTCTGAGTGTCATCGACTCTGCAGATCAAATGACCTCACCTCTGTTTTCTTCTTTACTTTGATGCACAAGCTTTTGATACTGGTGTCTGATGCTGCGTTTACGCGCATGTGGCTTTTCACTCGGTCAGTGGACTTATCAGAGATGCAGAGGACTTTCCTGTTGCTGTATCATGTCGTAATATCTGCTGTAAAGCAATAAATAAATAACCACTGCTTATTTTTCGCAGTGGGTTAAGTATTGTTTTAGCAAGTCTAAAGCAAGCCGCCCAAAAGAGCTGCTTATTAATTGTTATTACCGATTGTGTCTGCATAAAAAAAAATAAAAAATCTAATTAGGAGAACGAATGTAGTTTGACTTATTAAATTTACTAGTAATAAATGTTTGAGATATTATTTTGAGCAAATACATTTGTACGTGCAGTTTCTTAATCTTATCAGAGCAAATACTCTGATGAAAACAGCTAAATTATATTCCCGTTTTATTGCTACCATTAAACTCAAACATACATTATGTCATTAAAGGATTACCCAGGGACAGATCTGATGAGAGCACGGCTTGTGTATTGACTCGTCTCAAAGCTCAAGGATTTCTCGAGCTATGCGGTGCTCTTCTGTCTGTTGTTTTATTCCCTGTTTGAACCTGCGGCAAAGTAATTCGCCCCACATGCTATCAGGAAAAATATGGAAATAATAGTGTATTACACATCTAGAGCTGTACTGTGCACCCTTGGCTTAGATGCACTATTTTTACTTAGTCCTTGCTGCAAAAGATCTCTGTCGTATATATGTATGTGTTGGAATGACATTTACTGTATATGTTGGTGTCAAACTGTTTCACACACACATGCACACATTCATTCTGACACAGGAAGAGGGAAGAGTTCACATATAGATCTTTTCTTTGTGAAGTCATCTTTGAGCTTGTTATAGCACCAAATTCAACCCAGGCTTTTGTATCAAACTGTGTATTTGTGGAAAGACACCTTCCCCACACAAGCATTCCTCCTGTTTTTTTCATTATTCTCCTCACTGTTGTCACCTCATTTACTTCACAGAAGTCTGTCATCTGCTGTCAAAACTATTATGTGGTTGTGTCAACAAATTCCAGTATGAAGGGATTCAATTACATAATTGACCAAAAAACAACTAAACAAAAACAAAAAAAAATTCTGGGCAATATCTGCAGATTATCAGTGGCACGGTTTCTTTTTTGCTTACTTCTGTGACATCTGTTTAAAATCAGAGCATTTTCTTGTGTTAGATTCCCCTAATAAAAGGTCTGTAAAGTTTTATTTCAGCTTTTGAAAGTTCAGATAAATTACTCGGTTGTTTTTGTCATACACTTTGCATCATTAAGTGGTTAAATACTTAGATGTAATATGTATCAGAGCAAATGCTTTTCTTTTTATCTATTTGTATATTCCCTTATGTGTGCAAGAGAGTGTGAACGTGTGAAAGTGCAAATGCTGCACAGCAGAACAGTCCTGCCTTGGGCAGGAGAAGGGAGCTAACGCACTCACTGGTGGCAGTGCACCACACCGAGGCAACGCATGTTACGATAACACGTTCTGTCATCTCGCTGCTGTCTGCACAGCTGCATCAGGTAAGCAGCAGGTTTGCACTTTGCGGACGCTAACTTGCCTCTTGTTCTCCTGCCTCTGTTCTCCTCTCACACCTATTCTAATAGAGTCCCAGGATCTCCTGCCTTATTTACATGCTGCTAATTAACAAAAAGTGCTCAGAACAGATGCCACAGAAACAGCTTAGGGTAGAAAAGGAGGGGAGAGTTTGGTGGAGCGACAGAGCGAGTGATGAAGGGATTGTGTGAGAGAGACAAAACTGTTAGGAAAAATATAAAAGTCCCTCTGGAAAGAATGAATTTTACAATTGCAGTCAGCTTTACTTGTTGCGGATACTGGATAATAACGTTTTTCATCACTATCTCCATTGCAGAACAGAACGAGTAACCCTGGTATATATAGCAGATGGGTTTTTATCAAAGATACAGTATATGAAAGCATGCAACTGGTTAAGACTGAAAATGCTAGAGTTTTTTTTAGAGCTGGAATTATATTTTAAGGGTCATTTTATACTTTATTTTGAATGAGTGCATAACTTGCCCAAGTGAATATAGTTGATTAGTTCACTGGCCAATTTTCAGTCACCAGAAATATGAATTCATGGACCGCTGAGATTTATGTATAATGAAAATGATTTCAACCTGTATATAAAAGCCACTCATTAAATTTAAAATTCAAAAGTTGTTGCAAAAAAGATTTCTATGTCTTTTCCTGGGAGCCGTTCCTTAACCAGGACACTAGTGACGTTATGTACCTCCACCTGTCAGTGTTTCTACTGCATACATGCACAGTTCACGTGTGCCACTGATATGTGTTAACAAGCCCAGGTGAGCAAAGCTAGCCTCACCTTTTAATGCGCTAATAAATGCAGTGGTTTGACAAACCGCTGTCTGTTAATGTATGCGCCTTCATCTCCCGGTGACGAGGTGAGGTAGTGAGGGCAGGTAAACAACACACTGACGCTGGAAGCTTGATAGGTAGTGTGTGTTTAAATGTCTGTGTATGTGTTCCTGCTTTTCTAAACTTTGACTTGACACTGAGCAGATGTTCCCGAATTCATTTTAGTTTCAAGTTAGCGAACAGATGTTAAGTTGAGGCCAACGAGGATAATGTCATATAGTACTGAAACACTGCATTTCACTCTTATGTTAACACGAAATGAAAATAAATATCTCTCACAACAACTGAACTACATTTTAAAGCAATGTCTTTTTAATTAATACGGTTTGATCCTTATAAAACAAAGCCTTAGACCTACTGTAGGTAATTATTAGATGATAAGAATCCAACCTACCTGTGATTGCCAATGTTAAAAAATATATAGTAACTTTTCAAAGTTGTGCCACTAACCTGTCTCTGCTCCGCCGGGAAGGGAAAGCAGCATTGCAGCCAGCCACAGTGCACACATGCATCTCTTTGAGGTGCACGTTCTTGTAGTGCAGTTTCATGCTATAGGAGCTCTTGAAGCTCTTCTTACAGACATAGCAAATCTTGGGGTCAGGACTTGAACATGGATCTCCCTCTGGTGATCGAGAAGAAAGGAATTTGGGTGGGCTGGAACCATAGCCCATCGAAGTGATGAAGCTCTCGTGAAGCGCAGCCATGCTTGCAGCAGTGGCAGCAGCCGCTGCCATGCCCCCATTATAGAAGCCATACTGGCCCATGCAGAACATGTCATAAGTTGGATCGTTGAGTTCTTCTTTGATCTTGATGGGAGGGTGATGAGGGGAAGGTGAGGAGTTGCCTTTTCCTTCCATTTCCTTTCTCAAATGAGCTTCCTCGCTACCCTCATCATCTTGTTCCTTTTCCAGTCTCCTTCCACCCCTGCTGTGCTTTTGCTGATCCTCCACATCCATCAGCTCATCACGGTAAAACATCTTTGAATCCGAGTTTTCAGACTCATTCTCAAAGTCTCTCTCGTGGTCCTGATCCTCAGAGGTAAAGCTGTCCATGCAGCGTAGATCAGCAGCTCCACCTCTGCTGTCACTACCATTTCCTTCGTGGCATTCATCTTCGCTTTGTCTCATCATTCCTCTCAGAGCTAAACCAGGGCTCATCTCATCCTGGGAAGGGGATTGCTGCCCGCTTCCACCACTGTGGTTCCCATTTCCACTAGCGCTGTTGTTGTTGCTATTACAATTTCCGTTAATTTTGACATTGTTGTGAAGAAGAGATGACTGGTGATGGTGGTGATTATGGTGCATGTTATCGTCGTCATCATCGTCTTTGTCGTCATATTCATCAGCCACATCAATGACTTCTTTCTCAATCTTTACTGGCATGCTTGATTTACGAGGTTTCTTTTTGGGCGTGGGGTCACTGCTGCCATTGGTGAGGTCGTGATTGGCACTAGGTGTTGGTAAACGGTGGGACATGGGTCCTGCATCTGACACATGAACATTATTATGAGAGGCCACAGCTGCAGCAGCCAGGATCTGCTGTTGCTGGTCCATCAGAGTAGTGCTGTTGGTAGTGGTGGGCATGATGGGGCTGGTGGGCAGTGACACTGGAGGACTAACAAGGTCTGCAGGGGACAGTAGCGTTCGGTAGAATGGGGGCACTGGTTGAACTGGCTGCACTGATTTCAAGGAGGGGAACACCAGTGGACTTTGCAGAGGCGAATGAAGCATAGGGTCTACAGGTGGAGTGGTGAAGCCCAGTGGTGGCCTTCCAGGGCTAGTGAGTGTGAAACCACCATTCTTGGTGCTCGAGATGACAGGTGTGCCAGTGGTAGAATTGGCACGGATGAGGTCCTTGTCACGGTTATTGCGCAGCATGGGCATGTGCAACCGCGGATTGGGATTTGCACTGTGACGATTGCGGCTGCGTAGTGAGCTGAACACCATATTGCAGCCCTCGATGGTGCAACGGTGTTTAATCTTCAAGTGTACAGCATTATAATGTATCTTAAGTGTGCCTTTATCATAAAAGGTTTTTCCACAAGAGTTGCAGACAACGCGACCCTTGCGTGAGGTGGCTCCCATGCGGCGCATGCGATGCATCTTGGAGGAAAAGGAAGGATGGGTGATTGTTTTTGACTGCTCGTCCTTTATGAAATGGTGGTGGACCGGGTGGTCACTCAAGCTGTTAGTTTGCTGAGGTTGATTTTGGGACTGCTGTTGGCCCTGTGGCTGTTGCTGCTGAAGCTGTGTCTGCTGTTGCTGCTGTTGAGCCTGCTGGGTGGAAGGGGTTGGTGAGATGGGAGATGCCCGGTTGTTGGGCTCTGTCTTGGGTTCGGCATTGTTGTTAATGGCTCCCAGCGCTCCACGACTAGGACTTGGACCTGTGCGGAATGGTGATAGGGACACTTCTGACTCGCTGGTTTCCACTTGTTCTCCTTGGTTTGGCAGGCTGGGCTCCCGGAGCCGCAGACCAGATTGCTCCATTGGGAGGCCATTGGGGGGCAAGCCAAGCATGGGGGCAGAGACTGGGTTGATGTACTGGAAGGGCAACAGGAAGGCTAAGCTGTTGGGGATATTTTCAAAATGGTGGATGCTGGATGGGCTACTATTTTCCAGATGTGTAAGGAGCCCCGGGCTACGGGTCCTGTTGTTACTTTCAATGAATGTCCTTATCCCGGAGTCTGTCTTGGAAGAAGGAACTGTAACTGCCTGACCTTCCTTCTCCTGAATGGCCATCAGCTCCACAATGGACTTGGTCTCACCAAAGCGCAGGAACTGCTGGAGGGTGATGATCTCTTCTTCTCTGGACATGATGGTCCAGCGGTCCAGCACCTTGCCTGCAGCATCCTAGATGCCCCAGAAGAGACAAGAGAGAAGACAAAAATACTTTATTGATCGTGAATAATCAGTGTGGTCAAAGGAGAAGACAGAGCAAGGGTTAGTTTGTGAGAGCGAGCATTTCTGCTCATGAAATTCAGAGGCCCCTGGAGCGACAAGTAACTAACAGAGCTTTGTTGAAAATCTCCCTCCTCCACTGTCCCTCTTTTCCATCTACTCTTCACATATTCATTTTTAAGAAGAAATCTTTCCTGAAAATCTGCCCATTAATCACACCGTGATGAGAGTAACAAGTTCAATAACGTTTTAAGCAAACAAATCAAAAGCACTGAGGTGGGTCTTTTTAGCAAGTCTCTGACTCAAAGCATTGGAGGCATATTAATCTGAGAGAAAGAACTGAACTCTTGCAGGGACTCCCTCTGTACACAAACTACACCTAGGGATGTTTACAAAACTGGGGGAGCCAGAAAGAAAAAAAAAGAAAAGAAGAAATAATAGAATAATTAATGCAACTCACTACCATGCTGTAGTTCACATGCAATTTTCTTAGTGCTTTCTCTATCTCCAAGGCAATGAAATGCTTGAGGGAGGACACTATGCATTTAAGGAATGGGTTTGGATGCTCAAATAAAAGAGATAAAAACTCGTGTTTCTTCAAGGTGCTTGATGATGCCTTGATAGCGGCATTGAGATCGTGTTCCTATTATTGGGCAGTGTAGTTATTTATCATGTGTTTATGCCAGTCGTTTTAAATGTTGTGCAACCTATGGAACTATAAATGGAAATCTGATCAATATTTTAATGAGATTGGAGGAATATACAGCTTCTTTTACTTAAAATACTGAAGGTGAAATCCTGTGTAATAAATATCCATGTTGTTGTCAGTCTTTAACCAATTATTCATTTGACAATATCGCCCAATGAAAATAGCAAAAGTGTAAAATAACAATATTTAACAATAGATAATTTATTCATTTATTTCATCCCATGTCATTTCCAGTTCTTGTGTTTTTAGAGGTCTGGGAATGACCTCTAAAAAAGGTCTGGGAATGATGAGAAACATGTTTCCATCCTAGGATACCAGAACTGCTCCAGTGGGAAATGGGCTTTACTCCAACTAGAGCACTTTGCTTGGCTAGTGTCTTTTGGAGATGTGCTATTAATGGCTGAACATTAATAAGAAACTCAGACTCGTTGCAAGTGTGCACACTGTCACATGTCAAAAGACGGTGAAGGACTTTGGAAGAAGAGTCTTGTCAAATCTTGAAAATGAAAGTACGACCCTGTACTTTTGTCCTCTTCTGTGAACCGTTATGTCTTTCTGGTTTGAAGCACTAATGACAGCATTCGTCACTTATGCCTCCTCTGCTGTTGTTCTAAAATGTGATATTTGTGTGAACAAGATGGAAATAGTCAGGTTGAAAGAAAGAGAAAGTGTAAATACTGCAGTTCACACACTGGTTCCTGGGGGACCAGGCGCAAGTGACATCAAGGGAGCAACACAAGTGATGACAATTAGTCACACTGAAATGGTAACATTTCTTTAGAGCTCCTAGCTGCTGGCATCTATAAAAGATAAATGGCAACTCTAGTGAGTAAAAAGCTGTAAAAACCAACATCACAAAGCACAAAGGGCCTGTAAGGAGAAAACAGAAGATAAATGTTTAAAGAGAGACAGCTAAAGAGAGAGAGAGAGAGGACGGGAGAGACACAGAGGAAGAAGAGCAGAAGCGCAGAGAAAATAAAAGTGTGAGTGGTTTCATATCATGCCCTCAGATATACTGTAGAAATAGATTCTTCTGAGACGAAACATCAATAGTCACTGGGGTATTTGTTGTTAAATATACATTAAAAAACACTTTACACTTTCATTCTGTGTGCGCTCTGGAGTTTTAGCCTGGAGGTATGACTTTAAATTCTAGCCTGGACACTATTATTTCATACTGCATGGCCATCTGGGCATTAGTACTTCCATCTGATTTAATTGAAACAAAAAATGAAAGCAAATTAGAAAGTGAATCTTTAAATAGTTACACAACCAGGATGTTTCTTAAGTAATTGTAGTTCTAAGAAGTGCTGTGGTGTATTCATATTTCCTAGTGGCAAAAACTATATATGTTTGTTATATGTTGAAACACATCAAGGTAACCTACAGTTACACCTCTGATTGCAAGCAGGAAATATTTTAAATGCAGTTTTAATGTTGCATTAGTTTGAATGTTGCCTGTTTTGTGAGCAGTAAACAGCAAAAGAATATTTGCATTTTATGGATTACAGCCAGGCAATGTTTAAGTAAATTAAATTAAAATGAAAATATCAGTTTCCTATTTTCTCCACTTTGATGTTCAATTCATGATTAAAATAAGATTCATGAGAATGATAAGTTAATAACAAGGAGGTAATTCTAATGGAAGGCTGATTAATAAATGCCAGGAAACAGTCTGAAGCTGTTAGGAATATCATTAAATAAAGCTGCTAAAATGTACAGGTTCATAAGCCTCAGTGGGTTACGATTTTCTGACCATCTCAATCATTGATTGAGTAAAACAGAACTTAGACATGGATTTAAGTCTCTGCTAGTCCAACCATGTGCATTCACTTCCCCACAAACAAAAGCCAAACACAATGACACAGGCCAAACTGCAACCCATTAGGGCCAGCCAGCTGTCAGAACAGGTCAGCAGTTCTGCTATGCACTGGACCCTGTCTGAGTGGAGGCTATCCAGGCCTTCCTCGTTCACTGGTCAATTGACTTTTGGAGGCCAGTCAACATGCGTTTGGGCTGGGTCAGCCTTGGTGCAGCGTCAACACAAATCCACAACTGGGATAAATCTGATGAGAAAAAGATGCAAGGGGACACACTTGACTGAAGTTCACTTCATGTACGTGAAGCTATGTATCTTTAAGCCAAAAAAGAAAAACATTCAACAAAAGTTTTGTGTGTGTGTGTGTGTTTTAAAAAGCCACTGCAGATTGTAACTGATGAAAAAATATATTTTGCAAATATCACTGCAAAAAAATCCTTTTGAACCAAAAATTTAACAGTGACAATCGATGATTTTAATAAAAATAGATTTCCTATATTAAAACGAGCATCTAATGTGTGTGGACGCACATTTGCAGACAACCACAGTCCCCTGTATTCCTCACTGCCGTAAGTGTCACAACTCCACTCCCCTGCATTAGCCCTCTGATGCTGTGAGAGAAACAAATATGCCATTAGAAGCACTTTTACAAGTAGGCACTCATCTTCCAATTAGCTTAATGTGGCCCTCTTCCCCCTATATTTTCCAGTCGTGCCCCACCTCTTCTTGTACACTCCCTCCAGTAAAATCTCATTAATCCACCCCTCCCCCATCTCCCCTAGTGCTATGACATATTAGTCTGTCATTATCCATCCCAGAGTCCTTTAAACAATGCAGCTAAACCTCTGTTTGCCAGGTTAATGACTATTAGCCAATAATTACAGCAGAGAGACGATGGGGTACCCACTTTATCTGGTGGACAGCTTCTGCTGTTAGTTTATTTTATCTGCCTCCCTCCACGTCTCTCAGAATTAATCTGGCAACTGCTGTATTTATTCATCTCTGCACTGCCGCAACGCATTCTTAATTCACCACCGCCTCTATTACCGTGGTGGTGCTGGATGTTGTGTAGTGGGTGTGTAGTTGGGCATCTACCTTGCAGATTGCTGACAATGAGGATGAGCAAATGATGGCCTTGTCATGGGCCAGTACCAGTGTCAGTTAAAACAAATCAGGCAATTATGCAATTAGAAGTTTATGTGCTGGGCTGTATTAAAAGCTGGGGTGAGCAGCATTGTTATAGTGGATGGTGTGCATTAGGGATTAACAGCTTAACATGTATATGCTTTTCACTAATCATCACCTATCATACTCACTGACCAAGTCTCTTCAGAAAGCAGTAGAGCGAGAGAGAGAAAGAGAGAGAGCCAGGCTTTGGGAAAAAGGGGGAATGTTACAAATACACAGTGTTACACTTATACTTTTGTATACAGTAGAGACAGAGAAGGGATTCAGGTCGACTGCTTGATTGGTTTACTGACATATTATTACTGCTGATGTTCTGCAGTGTTACTGTAATGAGGAAAAAAAATCATTCTTTTTGACAGTCAGAAGAAAATACCCTTTTTGTACTATCCGTGAAGAGGGTGTAGATAAAGCTCCAAGCATTTTTTCAGTTTTAGGAAACTTAATGGAGACAGCTTGGTCTAACACACTTGATGTTTAGCCCACATTTAATGACTGTTTAGTGTAATCGCTACCTTAATTTGGCTGAAAAGGGATTGTATAATTTGTTATAAGCGTGCAGATCACGGTGTAAAAAAATGTCCTGTTTGGGAATTGTTGAATTTATTGCTCTAGAGATGAGGCTGGATTCATATTATTACTAGTTCTAGGGCAGAGTGGATACACGGTGTAGTGGTTTACGCATTTCCCAAGCAAGCAAAAGCTCCCTGGTTTGATCCCGGGAGGAGACATAAATCCATTTACTGCTGCATCAGGAAAGGTGCAAATCTGGTGCAAATCAGCAGCGACCCATTGTGGCGATCCCTACTGAGTAAAGGAGCTGCAGAAAGTAAGCTACTAGTTTTTGGGCAGGGATCACCACTTAATATCACAAAAAGAGGGGCAGGAGCTCATTGGTCAACTCGACAGACCGCTATTCTGATCTAAAAAGGTTAAAATGATTTCATGTGCTGCAAATAATTGGTAATTATATTTAGTATCCATAGGCTAATAAGCAGGTAGAATGTAATGGAGTTAATCTAGAGATAATGTGATAATTTTTCTGTCCCTGTTTGCAACTGATTCATCAAAGATTAGATAAATGGGTTAACTAAAGCACTATAGTGTCTACTAACTTAAATGGGAGGATGCCTACCCTCGTATAGCCCACTCTTTAATGTAGAGTCTGTGCATAAAGATGGCTACACTTGTTCACAAAAATATCTGTACTGATCATAAGAGCATTTGCTTGTATTAGTC